ACTGAACACTGGCTTTGTGTTTGGGTTGTGTTTTCAGTGAGGCTAATTCATTTGTTTCTGACATTTACCTATTCCTACCAGACCTGCCTTCAAAACAAGAGCTAGGGTTGTCTGAGGGACTAGGATTTCAGCATGTGGCCAATAGGAGAGCACACATATTAATAGACACTTCTGTATGGAAGACATCTCTTACAAATTGTCAGTAGTGTATTCAACAACTATAAAATATAAGGCTCCGCAAAGCTAATCATAACAGCCTTATGACAATAGGCCTTCACTGGGATTAGGTGAATATTTACCAGAAAGAAAAAACATATCAAGCTTAATAACCATCAAGTTCTACTCTTCAATGTTTTAGCAAGAAGCTAATGTCACGGAAACACAGAGAAAAGTGAAAAAATAAAGATTGAAATTTTCCATCATAATGCTGCAAACCTAAAAGTAAAACCAATGATAATTTTTTAAAGGAAAGTAAAAGAGTAAAAATAGAACTCACTGGAACCAAAGGGGTATCTTCTATAGGAAACTTTGAATCATCTAACAAAGACAAAGGATCCTTTTTCTCACAGCTTTCCTGGCTGATGAGCGTGTCTGTGTAGTTGGGCTGGGGGAAGATCAGGTGACTCTTCCTCGAGTCCTCGGCGAGGGAGACCTCATGGGAATAGGTGTGCAGGAAAGCCCGCGCCCCGTCCATGCCCCTGAAGTGTGAGGCGGGCACGCCCGCCAACCCACCTTCTGGAGCCTGGAGCAAGCGCAACATGTGCCAGCGCCGCAGTCTGAGTGCTAGCAGCACAATGACAAAGGCGAAGAAGACGCAGGAGACCGCGGCCACTGCCACCACCAGGTAAAGGGTGAGTTCTGAAGTGTCAGAGTCGTTTGGGACCTCTAGACTGCCCAGGTCAGCCAAGATGTCTGGGATGCTGTCGGCCACGGCCACAGTAAGCGTGACGGTCGCCGACAGAGGGGGCTGGCCATGGTCCTGGACAGCCACGACCAGGCTCTGCTTGAGTGCGTCTCTGTCCAGCAGTACCCGCGCTGTGCGAACCTCGCCTGTGTGCAGCCCCACAGTGAAGAGCCCTGGCTCGCTGGCCTTGAGCAGGCTGTAGGACAGCCAGGCATTCTGGCCTGAGTCTCGGTCCACTGCCACCACTTTGGTCACTAGAGAGCCGGGCTCTGCAGAGCGGGGTGCCAGCTCAATGCCAGTGGAACCGTCGGTGGGGAGCGAGGGATACAGGATCTCCGGTGCATTGTCGTTTTGGTCCAGTATGAACACGCTCAATGACATGTTGCTACTGAGTGGTGGGTCCCCACTGTCGGTGGCAGTCACCTGCAACTGCAGATCACGAAATTGCTCATAGTCGAAGGATTGCAGCGCATACAGAACTCCTGTTTCAGAGTTGATGGAGATGTACGAGGATAGAGGTGCCCCCTGGATGGTGTCTTCAGCAAGGGAGTAAATAACTCGAGCATTCTCTTTGCTGTCTGGGTCAAGTGCAGTCACCGAGAAGATGGAGGCACCTCTGGGGTTGTTCTCTGGGATATAGGTAAAGTAGGAGATGTGAGAGAAGGTGGGTGGGTTGTCATTGATATCTGCCACTTGCAGGGTGAAGTGAGTTTCCGTTGATAGAGGTGGACTTCCTCCATCTGTGGCTGTTACTGTTATATTGTAAGAGGATACCTGTTCCCTGTCAAGGGCTCTGTGTGTCACCAGTCTATAATAACTGTCAATGGACTTTTCTAACTTAAATGGTAGATTCTCTGATACGAAACAGGTGACCTGTCCATTCTGCCCAGAGTCTAGATCATGCACGTTTAAAAGGGCTGTAACAGTGCCCAAAGGTGAATCTTCTGTCAGGGGACTAAACAGAGATGTGATGGTCACCTCTGGACTGTTGTCATTTACATCTTCTACTGTAATCAACACTTTTGCGGTTGCAAGATATGCTCCTCCATCTTCCGCTTGTATTTCTATTTCATAGAAACCTGTTTCTTCATAATCTAGATTTTCTGATATTTTTATTTCCCCAGTATTTTTGTTTAGTTGGAATTTCAACAGTTGTGCGTCAGGTAATTTTCGGAATGAATATGTTACTTCTCCATTGGCTCCTTCATCCCTGTCGGTGGCAGTCACAGTCAGCAGCTGTGTGCCCACAGGCAAGTTCTCCAGAACACTCACTCGGTATTCGGGCAAAGTGAAGACCGGTGCGTTGTCATTTGCATCGAAGACAGTCACACTGATGAGAACAGTGCCAGATCGGAGAGGGTCACCCCCGTCGGAGGCAGTGAGTACCAGGTGGTGCAGTGCCTCTTCCTCACGATCCAGGGCGCGCTCCAGCACCAACTCCGGGTACTTGACGCCATTGGCACGACTCTGAATTGCTAGGGTGAAGTGCTTATTGGGGCTGAGCTGGTAGCTCTGTAAGGAGTTCACGCCCACATCCGGATCAACAGCTTCCGGGAGAGGAAACCGCATTCCTGGGGCGACATTTTCATTAATTTTTACGTCTAGATTTTCTGCTTGGAATTTTGGGGCATTATCATTGATATCAGTTACTTCTACGTCTATCCCGAAAAGTTTCACCCTATCTTCCACAAGAATGTTAAAATTCACCAGACACCGCGCGCTCTGAGCGCACAGCTCCTCCCGGTCTATCCTGCCCGCGGTGACCAAGCTGCCACTTCGCGAGTTCAGAGCGAATAGCTGCGTCCTACCTCTGGAGACGATGCGGACTCCGCGCTCCGCCAGCTCCCGGGGCTCCAGACCCAGGTCCTTGGAGATGTTGCCCACAAAAGAGCCTTTCTCTAACTCCTCAGGAACGGAGTAGCGGATCTGCCGGGCTTCAGCCTCCCATGGCATACCGAGGAAAAGGCAGAGCAGGACCAGCGCGCTTCGGTCGGAGCGATTCCTTTGAGCGGCCATTGTTGTCTGGTCACGGAATTCTCGCGGTCCTCACTGGGCACCTTGTGTGTTTTGACCGGTTCCTTTTTCTTTCTCAGGCTGCAGGGAGTCTCGGTAGCCTGGGCACCTTAAATTCTGGAGTGAGTGTCGCTGCAGCCCAGGAGCCGGTTTGTAGGAACTGTGGAGCTTTGTGTAGTTGGAGCCCTGAGAATCTGGATTGAGCGGGGGCTGCCTTTTTTCCTAGTAGGTGAACAGCGGCGCTCAGAGTCCTAAGAAGTTACTGCATCCACTATGTATGCAATAGAAATCAAACGCTACTCTTTGTTGGATATTTTATTTTATTTTACATTACTCCTTTGGTTTCTCGACTGATATCCTTAAATCAATTACTATTTGTAGGTTTCTTACTAGATGGGATAAAGTGGAATGAAAGTACTATAAAATATTAAATGAAAATAGTCGTTTAAATATATATTTGCAACATTTATTTTCCCAATAGAAATGTGCCCACTTTAAAAGGTAAGTAATGCTTATTTTATTTCCTATGAGCTTCTAGCTATATTCATAAAAGTCTTACAATTTTATCTGAAATTGTGATTTAAATGGTCCAATTACATTTAGTAGACATTCATAAGAAGACTATATGAGATATACCCCTTATAATTCATTTAGAATCCTTTTTAGATTTAATTAACTAATTACTTTGTTTAGCATTAAAATTGTGTAAAAGGTTTTCAAAATATTCTTTTCTAAAATAATTTTATGGAGCATCAATGAATCTTTTTTTGAAAAATGTATTTTTTATTATAGGCATATATTATTTGAAGTTAATTTGACCTATTTAAATGAATTGAACAGGTAATCACAAACTAAAAGAAACATGTCTGTGTTGTAATGGGAAGGGAAATATATGCAAGAATTTCAAGTGCTACAATTTTTAAAAATGAAGTTAGATATAATGATGTAGGTTTTTAAAAAATAAGTGTTTATGTCAAATGACCTTTTTTAATCAGGGCATTGATGCCAATATAAATAATCTCTTCTCTTAGACGTTTGTGTGGAAGCTCAAGGTACAGTGGTTCACACATCTTCAATTGCATGTGCCTATCAACCCAGCAGCAGTTCTCTCCTCAAAGGTGAAGGGTTTAAGAGAGTCACTTCTTTCATACAGAGAGCAGGTGGTTCATAAGGGTTTATGTCTCTATACCCCCAAGTATGGAATTCTTCAAAGATTTTATCTTTTTGTCTTCAAAGATTTTACATCAGAGAATCAGAGACTGAGAGAAAAAGGCAATAGCATTTCATTTACTTTCTTGGAAATTCTTTATCTTGCAATGTAGAGGAAAAAAGATTGGGAAGGAGTACAATCTGAGCACCAAGAAAAGGTAAGTACTGTAAATATAGAAGCAAGCCAAAAGAACCAAAAGTTGGAGAGAAAAAAATCCCTCTAGAGTAGTTAGTATTAAGTTTTGGGGACCATAGAAAACTTGGCAATGGAAACAAAGTTTTGACTCCTCTCCCAAGAAAAATGCAAATATCTATAACTTCGCATACAATTTCAGGAATTCATGGATCTGCTCACCATCCCCCCTCAAATGCTTACGGTTTAAAAAATTATTAAATAAAGAAAGATACCTAAATGCACCTAAAAGGTTATTTGCAATAAATATTTCTTTGAAAGGAGCACTTGCTTTGATATTTAATGAGTGCCTGAATATTATTATACTTAAAAATATGTATAAATAGGATATGGAAAATTCATTTTAAATCTTAGCAGATTTGAGTAGATAGGTTATTATTTATTTATGTATTTGGTAAGTAGCCAAGACCCTGGCCTCTGTTTTGCTAATTTGAGCTTGACAAGATATCTCCAATTTAGTGACATTTTTTCTGAACTATAGAGCAACCTATGAACCAAGTAAGTCTTGAAAAATATAACCAGCAAAAAGTGAACACTGAGCAGAAAAGATGGTGGTTCTGGATTTTCTAAATATGATTCTAAATATAAAAATGTAGTTTGCCTGAAATATGAGAAACTAGTAGAGTATTACAGAAGACACAAAAATGAAACTCACCGGTGTTATAGTCTCAGGATGTGAAGTCAAATCATTCCCACTCTGAAGTGGAATTAAGGCCGCAGGAGAATCACCGGAAACTATGTCTTGAGTAGAATGCAAGGGCTCATTGCATTTTAAGAAATTAAACTCTGTCTTTCCAGTATGGGCAACGCACAAATTGTAGGAATAAGGTAAAGTCCCTTCACTGTAGTTGGGGGGAACCACAGGTCCAGACTTGACACAGAGACCAGGCTGAAAGCAGCCCCAGGCAGCGGGGCTGGAGGAGCGACGAAGGTGCAGCGTAATGGCCAGAATCACCGCCAGAAGAAAGAGCACGGAGATCAAAGCCAAGGCCACCACCAGATAAAACTGCAGCTCAGCCTGGGGGTCAGAGGGTGTAGGATGGTCCCTGAGGTCTGGCAGTACCTCTTGTAGGCTGTCAGCGAAAACTAGGTGCAGCGTGGCGGTGGCCGAAAGTGGCGGCTGTCCTCCGTCACGCACGGCGACCAGCAGGCGCTGTCTGGCCGAGTCCTTGTCGCCCAAAGCACGCGCCGTGCGCACCTCGCCCGTGCGCAGCCCCAGGCTGAAGAGTCCAGGCTCGCTGGCCTGCAGCACGTGGTAGGACAGCCAGGCGTTGTGTCC